CGAGTCTGCTATGGAAATGTAGGCACATCTAAGCTCCAATCTTCCTACAGAGGTAAACATCGGCCCTGTCATTGTTGAATATGTGTCCATTTGATGATTTTTATACAGAAATAAGAAGCAAACTAACACATTCTTGTTTGATTTGTGTACGAGTTTCTGGATCCGCCGAAGAAATAATGGGAAAAGGCAAAAGAACACTCGAATAGCTCAGATCCAAAACAAAAAGGGTAAAATCACTAGCCTCTATAACTGATCTCTCATTGCATGTCGCATATAAAATTCACCTTGGATGTGCTTGTTTTGATGTTAAAAAAAAAAATCTGTTGTTGATACATGTACAATGGCTGCAAATACAACCCAAGAAAGATACAGAGGTCCAATAGTCACGGTACTTGTCCCCAAACGTCTGATCTCAGCTAATCTACAAGAAAGGTAATAATCTTTTCTGATTTCCCTTCACTGATGTGAGCTCGATATACATTAAATATGTCTATATATGAATGTGAACTCCTTGTTTCTAGTTGTGAGCAAAACCATGCCTGGTATGGCGTCCGCAAGGGAAATGACAAAGAGTGGCTTGGTTAAATCACAGTTCCAAGCAAACAAAAGGTAAGAAAACTTGTTTGTACATGTTGTAGGTTTGATCTTAAAAAAATATGGCTATGTATCACGACATGTCTCATATTTCTGCATTGTCTGTGTAGGACATTACGACCTAAGGTATATCCGAGAAAAAGAAATGTTGAAGTTGCAGATCCAAAGGCAAACAAATTATCAACTGACACATCTTCGGATCTGAAAGGTATACACTCATTTGTGCTGAGATTCTGCTGGATCTGCAACGTGTGGAATGCATGTATCATTTGAAGATACATGTGGACCGTTTGGAACTTGACCTACTCTGAGAACAAAAGAAAAATCCACGTCCAAACTGAATAAATGACATGTTTTTGTTTCTTTTTTTTTCTTTTATGAATGCATTAGTGATAGATCTGCTGAAAACAGTCGTGTTTCCTCAATAACTCATAAAGTTGTTTACTTGTGGTAGGAAACTTTTTATTTTTTTATTATTAATAGTATGTGGTATCCCTTATGAGCAACAGTATAGTTGTTATTTTATTTATCGAATTGTTAGGTGGTGTCGGTTAAGGCTGACAATATAGAGTTTATTTTATTTATTAAATAGTTAGGTGGTGTCGGTTAGGACTGACACTACTATCCTTTTGTATCCGATGTGAGTTTGAATGTCACTTTTACCCGACACTACTATCCTTTTTTATTTTATATTGCTTTCTTTTTTCGTGACGGATTAAGGGGACTAACTGACATCAAAAGCCTTTTCGTAACGCTAGCAATGGTGTCGGTTATGTTATCCAACATTGCATGAGTTTATGTCAAATTTTTACCTATTATCCGACATAAATTATGTTTTCTTGTCGGTTTTTTTACCGCCAGTTATAGGTCATTTTGTAGTAGTGTTATGATCGCCTAATGAAAAATAACAAACTAAACTATTTTGGTATAGGGTGATTTTTCTCTTTTGTTATTTACTAGTTTCTAAATTAAGGGAATCTATCATAAACTACAGACTACCATTCTCTAAAGTTCTCGCTAATGGTTCTTAAAAACTCTCTTTATTCTCTCAATGACTATAAAGTATGATCAGTGCTCTTTTTGTTGTTAATACCTTATGCTGCACTTCTTTATCCTTATTGGTAAAAGTGGGGTGTTCAATATAACTAAGATAAAACATTTACTTCTTCATGTTTTTATTATTATTTTTATATAAATATATGCTAATCTTCTCTTCATGCTAGTTATAATGGGATGTCTATGACAACAAATTCCTGATGGTTGTGGTTGACCAAGACAGTAATATACAATGTTCATTCAAAATACATACAAGTGTGTAATATCAGTTGTGTTGATGACTTATGTCATCAAGATACTTTATTGTAATATTATTTAAATATTAAAAACTTGGCTCTGATACCAAGTTCGGAGTAAGGCCTAGTAAAATAGTCGGATGACCATTGTAACAACTAGACATAAAACCTTACATATAGAACTCGGCATGTTTCAACATGATGACTACTTACAATGCAGGTATAAGACCACAAAGACTAAACTCAGAGATACTGAGAACTCATAGGCATCCTAGTTAATGTCCAATTATTTGTATGACAAACATTCAACTATAAAATAATGCTCGAACAAAATATGATCATCAGTTTAGCAAGATAATAATATATCTACAATAGTGTTTTCCTGTTTTGGATTGGAAGTCTATTTAAACAAACATACCAAAAGAAAGAATGGAAACTTAGTTAAGACTGGAGAAACTGCTTGAATATGTACACTTACTCTTTTATTGATATATAAAAAATTTACAAAGGATGGAAGTTTACAAAGAATGAGTGTTTACAAAGGATGCTAGAAAACTATGGAAAGTTGGTTCTCCGTAGGTGTGTGTTCGTCTGTGTAGAGGTTTGTGTTTAGCGATTGTGTGTGCATGAAGCAGAACCCCTTCATATACACAAGTATGATGGTGGTATGTTACAAAGATCTTTTCAAAAAGATGTAATATTATATAGAAAATATTTTCATTTTCTATGACCATGTCATTGTTTTTTAAAACATGGATTGTTTCTGAAAGTGAAAATGGAATCTTTTGTTTTTATGCTGTTTTGGACTCCTCCATGATTTTGCTTGGTGTCTTCTTTGAATGATGTGGTGGAAGTACTGCTTTTGCCTATTCTGGAAATTTTGAAAGTTTTGTGTCATGTTGATTAAACATGAAGTATTTTAGTGTTTTTCATTAGTTTCTCCTTAAAATAAAAGGAGAACTAAAGAAAAGTAAAAAAAAAAAACTTTAGTTTTAATGAAAAATGACAAATAAATGTGTTGTGAATAGTACTTGGGAAAAGTAAAAATATGGTTTTCCGTTAAAAGTGAACAGTACTAGGAGTGTTTTGTTAAAACTCCATAAAATAAAAGGCATCTCATGCTACGCAAACAATTTGCACACACAAAACATATCTCACTATTCTATGCCCCACACTATTCTAAAAATCCCCGCATGGGCGTTAGGCGGTTGGTCACCGCTCCGATTAATGCATAGACGTTTGAAAATTAAAAAATGCCTAAACTTGCTGAGCTGCCTGCTTAGATCGTCTAGGCACCTGTTTGACCCGCGCAGACCCGCCTAAGCACCCGCCTAGTTTGTGACTCACTTACACATAAAATATATAACTTTCATTTTGCATTTTATTTTTTGGGAAAAAAACAGTTTATTACACTCATGTTTAGTGGTTTTCAACATTTAGTACATCAATTTTTTTTCATCCCAGAGTCATACCTAAAGTGTAAATTTTGGGACAGTCTCATACATCCGTTAGTTAAACTGTTAGTTCTCCCGTTAAGTGATGACGTGGCGCCCTGATTGGGCACCACGTGTCATTAAAAAATATTAAAAATTTATTTAAATAAAAATAATATTAAATCATATTAAAAAAATATTAAAATAATAATAAAAAATATTTTTTTTTCTTCTTCTGTTGTTCTTCTTCTTCTTCTTTTTCTTTTTCTTCTTCTGGGTTCGGTTTCTCTTCTTTTTTTTTTTTTTCTTCTTCCTCCTCCTTCTCCTTCTTCTTTCTTCTCCTTCCTCCTCCTTCTTCTTCTTCCTTCTTCTTCCTCTTCTTTTCTGGGTTCGGTTGTTTTTTTTTTCTTTTCCTTCTCCTCCTTCTTCTTCTTCCTTCTTCTTCCTTCTTCTTCTGGGTTCGGTTTTTTTTTTCTTTTCTTTTCTTTCTTCTTCTCCTCCTCCTCCTTCTTCTTCCTTCTTCTTCTTCTTCTTCCTCCTTCTGGATTCGATTTTTTTTTTCCGTTCTTTCTTCTTCTTCTGCTCCTCCTCCTCCTTCTTCTTCTTCCTCCTTCTTCTGGGTTCGGGTATTATTTATTTTTCTTCTCTTCCTCCTCCTTCTCCTTCTTTGCAGGTGGGTTTTTTTTTTTTTTATAATATTATTGAGGAAGAAGAAGAAGGAGAAGAAGGAGGAGGAGGAAGGAGAAGGAAGAAGAAGGAGAAGAAGGAGGAAGAACAAGAAAAAAAAAAGAAAAAAAAAGAAGAGAGAAACCAAACCCAGAAGAAGAAGAAGAAGAAGAAGAAGAAGAGAAGAAGAAAAAAAATATATTTTATTATTATTTTAATATTCTTTTTATTTAAATATTTTTTTAAATATTTTTAAATATTATTTTTATTTAAATAAAAATTTAATATTTTTTAATGACACGTGGCGTCCAATCAGGGCGTCATGTCATCACTTAACAGGAGAACTAACAGATTGACTAACGGATGTATGAGACTGTCCCAAAATTTACACTTTAAGTATGACTCTGGGATGAAAAAAAATTGATGTACTAAATGTTGAAAACCACTAAACATGATGGTAGTAAACTGTCTTTTGCCCTTATTTTTTTAATAAATTATAAGAGACTTGTTGAATACTTAAATGAACACACATTATATGCTTGTTCCTTATGTTTTCATTATATTCCAATACTTCATGATATATATGTCATTCTATTTTGTAGTTTATGATGAAATTATATATATTTTAAGTATAAACAGATACTTATTTGCACGAAATATAATAAATTTATTTAAATCCGTCTAGGCGCTAGGCCCCACATTACCGTCCGACTAGCATATAGCGTCTTTTAGAATCTTGGCCCCACATAATTTAACCTCATGGCTCACTCACGGTATATTATAAAATGATTATCTGATAAACAAGGTACGCAAAGTGGAGTAGTGTAGTAAAACGATTAGTATTCGATTATAAAAGACGTTTAACCAACTGAAAAGATTAACAGTCACGAGGCTTAATCTTTGCAAGCTAGAGAAGTGTAGTAAAAACACTGCCAGAAAAGGTTGCATCACATTATGATGATTTTGCAGTCGGCAAAAAATTATTCTTATTAGTCACCTGCGCCGTTGGACCCATTCTTTGGGCCCAATAAAATACCAACGAATTACTTTCGAAAAATATTTTAACAGTCGTCTCTTTCCTGTGAAGAAAGAGTGAGAGTAAGGCGCGAACGGAGTGAGAGAGAGCCACAAGAATGGCGAAATTGTGGGGCGTGCGAAGACTGCCACTTCCACAAACCAAACGACACGAACAACGCAATCCCAAACCAACGAGGAACAAAAAGAAGAAAAGCAAAGAGTAAGCAACTTCTGCAAGTTTTTTCGTTTCCTTCCACTCTAAAAGTCTACCATTATTTTTATGAGAAATCGAAGTTAAAATCGCTGAAATCTTTATGGGTTTTGATTCTTGTGCAGAAGGGTATCTGCGTTTCTGGGTTTCTCGTTGAGAATCGATTGGAATGGTGTGTCAAATTTCGAAACTTTGCTTTATATTTCTGGTTTCTATTTGCGATCTTCCCATGAAAATGTAGTATGATGATGAATGCTGCTCCTTTAGTGTGTAGATTAAGGAAAACTATTTTGCTTTTTCGGAAAAGACATATTTAAAGTACTGTAAACTACTGTAGGTGGATTCAAACTTGCCAAGGGATATCGTTGTAATCTTTTTAGATTGAAAACACAGTGGATAAATTATGAGATCCCATAAGTTTCTTTTTTTCCGTGGTCGGTGATCTGATGAGCTTATTACCTACTGAACATGTAAACTGACTATTGTGGATTTTGGTATATATTGTCCAAACAAAAATGCGAAAAAGGAGATGTATTTTACTTGCATTCCAGATTTAACTGCTTACTGAAAGGGAAAAGAAAGCATTGAACTGATTAAGTGGTAAAACCTTTAACTGCTGCAGGCCAAGCCAGTGACCTTTGTTGTTGGTTCTCATGTTTGGGTTGAAAAACCAGAATCAGTTTGGATTGACGGTGAAGTACTAAATATTAAGGGTGATGACGCTGAGATTCAAACTAGTGATGGGAATAAGGTAATGCAGTTGTTATTGTTTTCTTTCTGCCACAAGAGTTGTTATTATTTTAAGTCTGAATCTTTTGGTCTTATTCATTTGTCTTTAAATCCAACATTTTTCTAATTTATTATTTGCTAGTTTCAGTTTTAAGGATTTTGGGTCTTTGATCTTCGTTGATATTTATATGATTTTGTACATGTTGGGTTCATTAGGCAAAGAAGTAGCAGTTGGGACGTGATATTTCTTTATTTTTTGTGTTTTTGGCTAACCAAAGAGACGGTTAAGAACTGGATTTCAAGCACGATAAGATTTTCTCTCCATTTATAGACATTGGTATTTTAGTGCTTGTTAACCCAGCTTTGGGCAGCAGTTTTCTGCATCGTTCTAGCTTCTGCTTAGAAATACTAAGATGTTATTTAAGAAGAGATCGAATCTGCTGTTATCTTTTTTGTGTTGGATGGTTCTTTTTCTGCATGGTCTATATCATTGTGGTTTGCCCCTTCCCTCCATCATTTTTCCTTCTCCTCTTCTTCTGCAAGATTTATTATATTCTCCTGAAAGACTTCATAGGCATATAATTTTTATAATTTTGAGTTTCTCGCAAGCAATTTATTCAGATCTGTTATCATTTTGGGACTTACTGAAAGTCTCTTCTTATTAGAAGCTTCTGTTCTATATTTCCATCTTAGTTTCCTTATGTAAAATGACTCCTTGAGTCATGTGCCAAAATGTCACTTCATATGCAGCTTTACTGAAACACCAATTTGTTTATTTGTTCAGTCGACCTACTTTCATTTTGTCCAGGTTGTTGCAAAGCTGTCAAAAATATACCCAAAAGATACAGAAACTCCTCCTGATGGAGTTGATGACATGACTAAGCTAGCATACTTGCATGAACCTGGAGTGCTTCACAATTTGGCAACTAGATATGAGATAAATGAAATTTATGTAAGATTTTTCTCATCTTCTGTTTTGAGTGAAATAATGTACACCCTGGTGAAGAAAGTGATTAATCACTGCAGCTATGGGCATCTCTGTTATAATACTTTGACATCATGGCAGACTTACACTGGAAACATTCTCATCGCCATCAATCCATTCCAAAGCCTCTCACATCTGTATGATGCTCATATGATGGAACGGTATAATGGAGTGCCATTTGGAGAACTGAGCCCTCATGTTTTTGCAATAGCAGATGCTGCATACAGGTGAACTGTGTTTCTTTTGCATGCTGCTCTTTATCTTTAAATGATGATGCAGTTACTTAATTGAATTTCCTGAATGTGATCAGGGAAATGATTACTGAGGGAAAAGGCAACTCGATTCTGGTTAGTGGGGAAAGCGGAGCTGGTAAGACTGAAACAACTAAAATGCTTATGCGCTACCTTGCCTATTTGGGTGGTAATGCTGCAGCTGAAGGGCGGAGTGTTGAACAGAAAGTTTTAGAAGTAAGCTGTTTAGCTTGAACTGTATTTCGGCATCTAACTTTTTTAGCCAGTCTAGTGAGATCTGAACCCTTGCATAACCATTCATTCCCATCACTAAGAAAATGATATTCAGCGCCAACATTTTATTAATATTTTTTCTCAACTGGGTTGTACCATTCTAATTTGTTGTTGTTGTTGTTGTAACTGACATGGTACAGTCAAATCCAGTTCTTGAAGCATTTGGCAATGCTAAGACTGTTAGAAATAACAATTCCAGGTGAGAAATTGTTAAATGCTTTGAGATTTTGTGTTGTTTCTGCTGTTGTTAGGTTTGTAGGCTCAGCATGTCTCTGGATATACTTTAACGTCTTCTATTTCATGGGCATTCAGTGTATATTAAAATCAGGAGTAGAAAGTAATACAGGTTTGCATGTGCACCTAAAAACCAGGGTTGCAGTTGTTTGTGATGAGATTCCTGGTGGAAAAAAAAAAATACATTGAAACTTTTTGTAGTCCATACCTAACTTTTTTTCTTGAATATATTGGTGAAGCCGCTTTGGGAAATTTGTCGAGATTCAATTTGATAAACGTGGTAGAATATCAGGGGCAGCCATTAGAACATATCTCTTAGAGAGATCTCGTGTTTGCCAGATTTCGGATTCCGAGCGTAACTATCACTGTTTTTATCTCCTTTGTGCTGCTCCACCTCAGGTAGATAGCTCAATTTTCTACTTTAGTGCATATCTATGATATTTTCAAAAATTTCCTGTTAACAGATTTAATCTCATCAGGAAACAGAGAAATATAAGTTGGGAGAACCTAAATTATATCACTATCTGAATCAATCAAATTGCTATGAACTTGATGGAATAAGTGATCAACATGATTATCTTGCCACTCGGAGAGGCATGGATGTTGTTGGAATAAATGCAGTAGAACAGGTATTTTTTATTTTATTTTAGTTGAATCTGATAATTGTTTACTGCTAAGTTAAGTATCATTATACTGAAAATCTGGGAATAATTTTGTCTCATCTCTCAGGAGGCTATTTTCAGAGTTGTAGCTGCAATTCTTCACCTTGGTAATATAGATTTTGCCAATGGGGAAGATAATGACTCATCTGTTCTGAAAAATGATGAATCCCTTTTTCATCTTCAAATGACAGCAGAACTTCTCATGTGTGACTCAAGCTTTGCTATAGACATAATTCATACTTTTCTCTTTTAATCACAGTGCAGTTTTGATCTGTCTTATTCATATTTCAGGTGTAATCCTCGGGCATTGGAAGATGCACTGTGTAAGCGTGTAATGGTTACTCCAGAAGAAATTATTAAAAGAAGTCTTGATCCCCTTGGCGCAACAGTTAGCAGGGATGGATTGGCCAAAACTATATATTCTCGTTTGTTTGACTGGTAACATTCTATCTTCTGAATCATTTTCACTCAAATGCTTACCGTGGAAATGTAGCATCTAACAATATTGGTTTTATCGATTTATTTATTTTCCTTTGTATCTTCAGGTTGGTGGATAAGATCAATTTCTCAATTGGACAAGACCCTAGCTCAAAATGTCTGATTGGGGTTCTTGATATATATGGTTTTGAAAGCTTCAAAACTAACAGGTAACGATTGACTACAAAAAATGTGGAATGCATAGATATATTTGGGCTGGAATCTGCGTGATTAAGTTCTGTGCATGTAACAAATACAAAACGGACATTGTAATCTATACTAGACTATTAGTACACATAAGGAGACCTATCACCACCTACCATTGGGTGACTTGAACTTCTGACCTGCACTAAGGTACTTGGGAAATCATCTGTATTGCTGAATCCAAATTCACTCAGTTATAGATAATAATAAACGAGGATATGAAATTGAGCTAGAACTATGAAACTAAATTTAGCTAGAATCTCACTGAGTATTTTCAGTCCTAACTTATTATGTTTCATTAATGCAGTTTTGAGCAGTTCTGTATTAATTACACTAATGAAAAGCTGCAACAACATTTCAACAAGGTACGAGGTTAGTCATACTTGAAAACTTCAGTTTTAAGTAAATTTTTTTAATGTACCATCTAAGTGTTATGATTTGATTCAGCATGTATTCAAGACGGAACAAGAGGAATACACTAAAGAAGAAATAGATTGGAGCTACATAGAATTTGTTGATAATAAAGATGTCCTGGATCTCATTGAACAGGTCTTCTTTTTATTCTCTCTCTCTCTCTCTCTCTCTCTCTCTCTCTCCCTCTCTCTCTTAAAGTTGTATACGCCTTTATTCTAAAAACAGAGACTTGTCCCTTCCCATGGATGCATCATTCATGATATTAGAGTGTATAATTACAAACGGCCATGTCTATGGGGCTTCATGTTTGTTGTTGCAACCTTTATTTTGGACCCCAGAATTTCTTTTCATTCCGTGCTAATAATTGTTAAAATTCTGCATGTGTTTCTGAATGGTATATTCGGATTTATTTTAGTGTATTTCTGATTTGTTCGTCCAGCAGTTAAATTATGTAGTATACTGAATTAGCTGCCATACACTCATCACTAATTGATTTCGTTTCTGCAGAAGAAAGGTGGGATTATTGCTCTACTTGATGAAGCTTGGTATGAACATCTCTTATTCTTGACTGCAGTTACATGCACACACACACTTGCACATATACAAAGTGGTTCTTGCTCAGATACTTCTTATTAGGTGAAGTTAAGATAGAAAATATCCACGTTCTTCACTGAAATTGCACACACATGTGGACAGAGATTCCTGCTCGGATACTTCATATTAGGTGAATAGTACATCTCCAGCTTTTTATCAAATCAAGACACTGTTCTTATTTTCATGCCCAAAAGAAAAGAAACTGCTTTTATATAGTATGGTTTGTTCTCTTATTGGAACTTTGTAAGATTTATTTTATTAGGTAGGATGTTCGAAGACCCTATGTACACATACGTGTGTGCACACTGGCATGTACACACACACACAGAGAGAGAGAGAGAGAGAGGTGTTAAATCACTTGGATGCAATTTATGACATTCATCTTTTTGAAGACCCTATGTAGTATGTACACATACGTGCATGGAGAGAGAGAGAGAGAGAGAGAGAGAGAGAGGTGTTAAATCACTTGGATGCAATTTATCACATTCATCTTTTCCGATCCCACCATTAGATTAGATGTTCTACCCTGCTTTTCATGCATGCCAAGTTTAAATCAATCAGATATTGGTTGCATCTAATCCTTTGACTCCATTGTTCTTTTATCAAACATTATTGTAAAACTTAAGTTTTCAATAGTTCATTTAAATTTCTACTCACATTTTTCTTGGATAACATTGTCGCATTGCAGTATGTTTCCAAAATCAACTCATGAAACATTTTCAACGAAGCTGTATCAGACATTCAAAGATCACAAACGCTTCATGAAGCCAAAACTGACCCGCTCAGATTTCACCATTGTTCATTATGCAGGAGAAGTGAGCTTGGTTCCAGTGTTTTGCACTGAAATATATCTTCTGTAATGTGGTTTCCACTGAACTTTGTTAACTTTCTGCACTTCTTTTTTCAGGTACAATATCAGTCTGATCAATTCCTAGACAAAAATAAAGACTATATTGTTCCTGAACATCGAGATTTGTTGAGTGCTTCAACATGTTCTTTTGTAGCAGGCCTTTTCCCTCCACTTACAGAGGAGGCAACCAAATCTTCCAAGTTCTCATCCATCAGTTCTCGTTTTAAGGTATCTTCTATTGAGGGCATCTGCCTACAATTGTGGTCTCAGAAAGAACAAATATTGGTGTTTTGGATTGTACTTTAGAAAATACTGGAAAAGCAATTACTCATGTTTTTCCATGTGTCATGAGATGATTTAATTCATAAAGGTGAAACCTAATTTCTTGACCTTATTGATGCAGCTACAACTCCAACAATTGATGGAAATACTAAATTTTACAGAACCCCATTACATAAGATGTATAAAGCCGAATAGTGTCTTAAAGCCTGCTATATTCGAGAATGTTAATGTCTTGCAACAGCTACGTTCTGGTGTAAGTATAACGTGAATTGTGTGTATATGACTTATTATGAATTGGCGGCATTAAAACTTTGTCATCTACATAGGGTGTTTTAGAGGCTGTGCGAATAAAATGTGCTGGATACCCTACTTACAGGAGTTTTTCTGAATTTTTAACTCGATTTCGTGTCCTGGCCCCGGAAGTTTTAAAAATGGAGTAAGTTTCAACTTTTATGCATCCATGTTTTTTTTTTCAACATTTTCATCTTTAATCTCATTGCTATCTTTTCTGGTTTTTCATTGGCGTTTTGGTTATGTTCCCATTTCTGAACTCAATGCCTATATGATCAGTTGTCCTGAAAATGAAGCCAGCGAAAAGATTCTGGTGAAGATGGGGCTTAAAGATTATCAGGTAATAAGAGCGTTAGTGCTTATCAATCTCTCTTACATTGACAATCACATGACAAGATTCACAACAGAAAATTATGGAACTCCAGATATACTTGGCTTTGCCTTGGTGGTTCAACAGAATTATCATATGCTAAGGAATCTCCGAACCTATGATGATTGTTGATTGGATTAGCTATGATGCCTAACCCAATTGAAATAACTGAAAACAGAGTGAAGAGGGAATAAGGAGGGGAGGAAAGAAAATAGGAGGACTAATAGAAATTCAAGACACAAAATTGTTCTGTAAATAATGAATTTTCCCCTAAAGAGTTTACCCATGGCTTATTTATAGAGGCAGTGTGAAATACCTTAAAATCAAAGATTACGTTTACTTGCAAGATATTTTTATATATTCAATTAAGCTTTATCTATTTATTTGTTTATTCAGATAGGGAAAACAAAGGTTTTCCTAAGAGCTGGTCAGATGGCTGAGCTAGATGCAAAGAGAATACTCTTACTCGGTGACTCAGCTAAGGTGATTCAAACCCGGGGCAGAACTCGTATTACTCGTAAGAAGTATGTTTCTACACTGGAGGCTTCTATTTGCGTACAATCATTTTGTAAAGGTGAGTGCATAAAAAGAAGAGGTAGCCATTTTCTTGAGGTGTTTCTTTTTTTTCTTTTTTAATGCAAAATCCTTAAAATTTTAAGTTTTACTGAATGTATTTTGATGGATTTGATCCTCCTTATTCATTTATGTAGATTTCCATTACCCTAGCAGTTAGTGCGCTTATCAGCTATATATACTAAATACCTTTGCAATTACCCGCATTTACTTGCTAGTTTTATATAATACAATATTTCACAAGTATTTCGTTGTTATGATTCAGGAGAACTGGCTCGCAAGTTATTGAAGCTCAAGAAGCGGGAGATTTCTGCAGTTAAAATTCAGAAGACTGCCCGTAAACGCCTGGCGAGAAAAGATTATCTCAGAATAAAGTTCTCTTCGACTATCTTACAGGCAGGCGTGCGGGCAATGGCTGCCCGTGATGAATTTAGATATAGGGTTAATGCGGCAATTATTATTCAGGTGATTATCCAGCTTCCTCCGTTGCTAACTTTCTATATACAATAAACATAGGTGCTTTTCACTTTTTCATAGAATTTGTCTTAATGCCTGGCTTGGAAGACTTTCTACATGCAATGTACCAAGTTTCTATATAAATTATACATAGTTTGAGAAAAGGCTCTCATCTTGGTCCTCCTTTGTCTTACAGACAGGTTTACGGGCAATGGTTGCTCGTGAAGATTTTAGATGTAAAGTTAATGCGGCAGTTATTCAGGTGACCTAGTTTCTTGTTTCTCTATATTACATATTTGGTTGCTTTTCACATTCCCAAAGGATTTGTGAAACATGTGGAGAAAATCTCAAAATTAAATTCTCCTGAATTGTCTAAAGAGAGGTTTACGGGCAATGGCTGCTCATAGTGATTTTAGATGTAGAGCCCAATCTAAGCCGAAAGTTATTTTTCAGAACTCAAAGAAATATCAATAATGCGGCACCAAATTTCTTTACTTCTAAGCTCTTACTAAGAAATCAATGCTTTGCATATGAATGATAAACATATTGCTAGGGTTACTGGGGCGCCAAATATCTTCACTTTTAAATCTTGTAATGGAACTCTCCTTTCTACATGATCAGAAGCATCACAAAAGATAATCTCTTCACTTAAAATTTGTATTATGAACTTAATGTTTTACAGATGACTATTGTACTTTCTCCGAGTTCAGAATCTTCATGCTAGGCAGTCCCTTTTAAATTCTTTTACTGAATTATGCTAATTTGTGCAGACTGACTTGGAAGCAAAAGGAGAAGAAACAACGAAGTTGGAGTCCTCTGTGCAAGCTAGTGTAAGCAAAGTTGAAATGTATTTGTTGCTTTAATATCAGGTTGCACTGATAGAAATTAAGAAATATCAAAGAATATCCTGATCAACTTGCTGAAATCAATACATGGCACTCACAATAATGTGGCACAAAGTTTCTTTACTTCTCAATTCTCGTAATGAAATCTATTTGTTACAGACGAGTATTGAGCATTATGTCAGGTAGTGCTTTTCAAGTGTTTTTACTTTTTACTAAACGTTTAGATAATTTTTGCAGACTGACTTGGAAAAAGAAAAGGTTAAAGAGGCAACAAATGCGGAGTCCCCCCTGCTTACTAATGTAAGCGGAGGTGTTGAAATAGATGTGTTGTCTAAATGTCAGGTTGCACAGGTAGAAACTGAAGACGCATGCTCTATGACCCAAGATCTTTCAAGTCCTGATCAAAATGCTGAAAGAGTTAAAACTCTTACTGCAGAGGTTGAAAGTCTGAAGGTAATGATATCGAACTAATAGATAAAGGGAATTAACATTAGGTTTATTTCAATTTTGTTGCCATCTTTTACTGGCTTAGGAATTACAGCATCTACAAATTGATACTCCTGTCTTTTTTCACATAGGGCATGTTACAAGCAGAAAAACAAAGAGCCAATGAGTGTGAAAGGAGGTTTGTGGAAGCTCGGGTATCAAGTGAGGAAGGACGTAAAAAATTAGAGGAAACTGAAAGAATAGTTCATCAACTTCAGGAATCTTTGAACAGGTAGTACAAATTATACTCTGTCTGTATTTCAGTTCTCATTCATTTTGTGTATGTGCTTGTCTAGTTTCTTCACTATAGAAAGGAATCAAATATAGTTTCTGTATGTTAGGACTTTCAAATCCTATTTGTTGAAGCGTATTATAGGTTTTTCTTTAAAAAATAATTCGATTCACAATCACTGTAATGAGATTCCCAATCTAAATTCCTTTAAATCATTAATTAAGATGCATTAAGCCGGAAAGTACCAGAGACGGAGCGTTTCAGTGATGGGAATTTTGCTTCTTACTTGTTTAGATTTGTGCATATATGACAACTTACGATCATTCTAATGATGTTTGTAAAGTTGCTCATAAATTCATTTGACTAATACTAAATATAATCTAGTGTGTGTCAGGATGATATATTGCATGTCAAACCAAGTTTCGGAGCTGAAAACAATCTTATCTACCGCGTCCAAGTCAAGTTCAACAACTTCAGGACCTTTTGTTAGACATGAAGGGTTTGATAGCATTTCCAGTAACTCTGAATGTTCATCCGCCGACTCAGATTTCACTTTTCCAGCTCCAGCTACAAGTTCAGCTAACCTTTCCTCTCTCGGCCCCAACTCTATCCAGCTTATAGTTCAGGACGTTTCAGGCATAGAAGTTTCAGGTTAGCTCAGTTTTATGCATTTTAATTTTCTGGTCATAGGTAATTTTAATCCAGAAGAGGTCGCACTTGGTGCGATGGCAAGTGCCTTCGCCCATGAGCGGTAGGTCTCCGGTTCGAGACTTGGGAGCAGCCTCTCCATAAAATGGGGGTAAGGCTAGCCGACATTCACCTCTCCCAGACCCTGCGTAAAGCGGGAGCCTTGTGCACTGGGTACGACCTTTAGGTAATTTTAATCCAGAACCCCACCAATTTTCTAAGTGAGTTTGCATTTGATCCCACTTTGTAAGTGATTTCACGAAAGACAATGGTCCTATATGATAAAAGGGCGACCCTAGGCCAACAAGGCTCCCTCCTTTGCGAGGGTTTGGGGGGAATGTGTATCGTACGCATCCTTATCCTTGCTTTGCAAAGAGGCTGTTTCCACGACTCAAACCCTTGACCTTTTGGTCACAACGGTCTTGTATCATACATAACATTTAATGTTTCTCTGGTGATTTAATTTGCTAAAACTAAGCGCAATCTAGATCAGCTTGTTGCCGCCTTTTATTCAATTGAGAAAAGAATTATTAGAATCTTCTCAAATTTTCTATAAGATATCATGATTCAGCAGTCATTTCCTTGCACATCATTTTCTCACCTTGCAACTTGGATAAAATGGTTTATGTTTCTAACTTACGAGTTGTGTTTCATTGCTTTATGTTTCCTTTTTTCCCTCGATGATGCATTTTGCAGGATCTGAAAGTGAGAAGGAGGGGGCTTTTGATGACTTCTTCTGACGGAGCTTGTTCTAATTATTTTTCTTCTTTCTTGCTTAGATTTGGGTCTCTCGTTAAACGTCAAACTTCTGGCACTGTAAATAGATCGCCAGACTTGAACATATACGCCCCATATGCTTCATACAGGATCATAGACCGACAAGTTTCTCTCAGGATTATATCGATCAATTAGTCAGGTAGCATGTAGCAAAGGATCAAGTGTAGTAAACTTTAGAGTAGTACGTAGTCGGAGCTCATTCACCAACTCCTTTGTGATTTCATTTCGCCCTGATAACTGGCCACGACGCTAACGTGTGCATAAGAATCCTCCTCGAGTTTTACTGTTAACATTTCACTGTAATTGATTGTATCAGATAGCTTCAATGTGTTAATTTATCTCAACTCAATAGATATGTTGTAGTACTTCTGTTTACAAACAACTGCTTATGTGGAAAACATTTGTGTTGATTCAGATCAAGCCAAATTTCTCTTTTTCTCCTAATTTTTTTCAGTGTAACTGTAACACCGTCATGTGGGCATAATCTTCCAAATTTCATGTTACAGTTCGATTCAATAATGTAGACCGAGAGTCTGATGGTTTTCATCAGTGTTCAACGGTGAACTATCTCGATAATAGCTATAAATTTTTCTGTATTTATGAGATTTTTCATATTTGGGACGAGTAAAATCCCAAATCCTTTCATGCATATGGGGGTGGCAACTTGTAATTTAAAGCGGTTTTGTGAACCATAGAATTAGCCTTAAATAAGGGCTTGTTTGGAAATTTAAAGTACTTTCAAAGCACTAAAAGTGAATGACTACGTGCTGGTTTGGTACTAAAGTGATTTTATAAAAGTGGGTATAAAAAAAAGCTGAGCTCAAAAAGATGTTTGGTAAATACTTAAAAACAGTTTATTTTCACAGTTTTAGGTGAAAAAAAACTGAAAACATGAAGCAGCAAAAAAGAGTTTATTCTCATAGCACAGCAGAAGCAATTTTTGTTCAAAGCACAACAATACCAAACCAGCCCTGTTTTACATAAAAAAAGTTTGAAGTGTTTCTGGGTTCAAAAAAGCACATGAAGAAGTGTTGGTCCAAAAGAATATGCATTTTTATTGAAACTTTCAATGTGCTTCTTGTTAACCTACAGAAATGTAGTGAGAGATAGAGAAGAGACTCGAGAGATTATAGAGAGCGAAGTAGAGAATGGAAAGCTTCAGTATATTGATTTTCTTAATCCCTACGTAAGTACACTCAACAGTATTTATACTTCTCACTACTTCTATCACCTTAACTAACTAACTGATACAAGTGGTAAAATCACAGCCACACAACCTATCTCTATCACTTCTAATAAAAGTGCTTAAAATTGAAAGTTCTTTTGAGCATAAGTGCTTTTTAAATAAGTAGTTCCAAACGAGTCATAAATCTACCCCTAAAACATAAATTTTGCCACTTAATCTCTTGAAATGAACTTGCATCTCACTTTGCCCCTACTGCTAAAATACGTTAATAAACCCGTCAAAACTATTTATGTGGCACACATCTCAACAAACAAGAAGTTCTATTTGTACAACGTAAACAATTGCAACGGATTTATTAACAGGCTTTGGATGTAGAAGCAAAGTGAGACGCACAAGTTTAGTCTCAGTGGGTTAAGTGACAAAATATGAATTTCAAGGAATTAAGTTAAACGAGTTGAGTTTTAGGGAGGTGTTTCCGTAAATAAGCCATATGTTTTAAACTACTTTAAATCTACATGGATAGAAATCGAATATGGGTGTAACAAGGGCATGTTGCCCTAATTAACTAGCCTAATCCACCATTAATGTATGGCTTTATAATATAAAAAATATAATAAAAACCACATCAGAAGTAGGCATCACCTATGCTAGAGAGGTGATATACAATGTGATACAGTCTCTAACATTTCTTGAAATTAAGGAGTCTTATACATTATCACCACATTTTCACCAGCTTAATCATGTTGTGGAAAATCAACAATAATAGGACACGAAGTTAATTACATTGCCAACACACTTTATTTAATAGAGGTCGGGTGAACCCTCCCCCTCTCTCACTCTTTAAGTAAAAAGGAGGCACCTCTCTATAGTACAACCAAGGTATAAAATATCGATGATATCGGAAATATCGGTAGTTCAAAAACACGGAAATATCGATGAAAATATCGGGATATTATCGATGTCGATAAAAATAATATGAAAACCACGGAAATTGTAAGAAAAACTTGGAAAATTTTATTGAAACTTTGCAGGATGTTTATTTAGTCAATTATCTATTAGTTTATCACAAATAATTTGAAGGAAATGCATTGCATGATGGATTTAACTAATTTAAGTTGATTATATAGCGAGCTGGCAAACATTGTGAGTATAGAAAATATGTAGTAATTAATGAAAGAAGTTTAAACACACCATAATCATTTATATATAATGACTTAGTACAATATTTTACACTTTATACATTGTATGGTAAGATACATGAGTTACACAAACAACGGGAAATTAATGAGAAAGCCCTTCCCAAAACGTCAGCACCCGCTTTTTTGACCACACTAATCCAACGGCTCAATACCATTGATAGCCTTAAAAAGAAAAAGAATTGTTTGGTCTTAAAAAGAAAAAGAAAAGAAAATATTATATTATAAGAATATACTATAGTATTGTTTTAAAAGATAGATAGTTAAGGGGTAAAAATAGAAGGATAGTTTAATCTTTTGCTGGAAAAGACGTCGTGATCTAGTTGAGTAATCCAAATAGGAAGAGGATACAAGCCATATCTAGAAATGTCAGTCACAATTACTTCATTTATTTACCAAAAAACCAAAAAAAAAATTGTTTTAAAACAGAACAAATAATATAATGTTATCTTAATCATTTATATAATATATTTATTGCACCAAAGCAATAACAATAGGAAGAAGGATTCACAAGATCTTGTTCTTGCATTTCTTTGTCCAACTTTGATAGTGGGTAATTATTTTTTGTTTTTTTAATTATGTGGGTGGTAGACTTTCACACAAAACTAGGCCTTTTTTTCCACTTTCCCGATTTCCCTGCTGCCTAATTTCTATCAATCATCTCAACTTCTCTGTTTAACCATCTATCTTCTTCTCTTCTGATCCCTCTTTCTAACCTTCCATGTCTACTCCGCACATCTTCCTCTATCACTTCCTCTAAGCCATCATGGTAATTCTCCATTTTCAAGCACAACACATCTCACGAACACACACACTCACCCACCGTTCGTCTCTTCCCAGCTCCGCCGCACAATTCCACCACCACCATGGGTCGCGTCCGCACAAAGACAGTGAAGAAATCCTCCCGCTAGGTGATCGAGCGCTTCTACTCGCGCATGACCCTGGACTTCCACACCAACAAGAAGATCCTCGAGGAAGTCGCCATCATCCCCTCCAAGTGTCTCTGCAACAAGATTGCCGGATTCTCCACCCACCTCATGAAGCAGATCCAGAAGGGCCCGGTTCGTGGCATTTCCCTGAAGCTGCAGGAGGAGGACCGCGAGCGCCGCATGGACTTTGTCCCCAAGGAGTCTGCCATCAAGATCGACGAGATCTCCGTCGACAAGGAGACCCTCGACATGCTCTCAGCTCTTGGTATGGCTAACATGCCTAGTTCAAGCGGGTCGACCCGGAAGCTCAGACTCAAATTTGCATAATATCGCGATATTAGCGATATTATGACGATAATTAAGGGGATAAGTATAAAAATATTGTCATCTCAAAAAAACGATATTATCGGCGAAATATCGCCGATAATATCGATATTTTGTTCCTTGAGTGCAACCATAATTACTGGGATTAATGCAAAATCCTATGGAGGTGTTCATCTTAAGGTATATATGCCATTATAATTAAATACCGCAAGTCCTGCACAATAATTATACGGAAAAGGATCCTCACCGAATCCTTTTCCTGAAGATCCTAGGGATTCTGAGACCGTGATCGTTCATCATACATCGTGCAGTCAGTTTTTGTTGGGTGCTATTCATATTTAATTTTAAATTTTAAATTGTGAAATAATTTCTAATCATACAATGTACGATGAACGTCACGATCACGGGATTTCTAGGATCTCCAGGAAAAGGATCCGGAGAATCCTTTCCCTAATTATACACCCTTCAAGTGCGTAGTGAGCATTTTATAAGTCATATGCTTTTACATGTTCCGATATTCCTCCTATTCCTCCTATTCCCACTGACCACAAAACCCTAGCTAGCTTTAGCTAGTTTCCCATGTCCTCATGTATTAAACTTCGTAATGCACATTTGCTAGACGCATCTCTCCTAGAATCAGCAAAAAGTTAAAATAATGTCTTTTTAAGTTTGTACACTTCCATTGCTGAGCAATATCCAGATATAGGTATCAGCATTTTGGCCTTTATTTGTAGTACTTCATATCAAATAGGATCTTCATTTTCTTCTTCTTCTTATTTCAGTGTTAGTTCAGCCAGCTTTCCTCGACCCGAACTACTATAGTTCTCTGATCCAACAGCTTAGTGAGTCTCTCTCTCTCTCTCTCTCTCTCTCTCTCTCTCTCTCTCTCTCTCTCTCTCAAGTTGTGAAATTAAAAGATGGGGTTTTCATTTTACTCCGATTATAGCGTAATTAAATCCGTTTTTTATGTTTCATTTGATGAACTGAACCAGATGTGATATGGAGAGGCTCACTTGAGTACTTGTGGCAAGATACCGATGCTGAAGGGATCGAGATCGATGGATTGTATCAACTTCTTTGAAGGAGAAAATTTATGTGATAATTCATGGGCTACAAGAAACTTTGCATGTAGCTTTTGCAAGAGAGAGTTCAGGTCTGCTCAAGCACTTGGGGGTCATATGAATGTTCACAGAAGAGACAGAGCTAGGTTGAGACTCCTACCGCCAACCCGTTCTTCAGAAATATGTCCTCAAAACCCTAGCCCTAACCCTAGCTCTTATTTTTCTACATCATCATCCTCATCTCTTTCATCATGTCATTCCTTGTTTTCTCCTTCTCTGAAGACTCTGGTCTCTACACCTTCATCAGCTTCATCTATGGATGAAAATAAAAAACCGAGATATGACTACTGGCCGGAAAATCACTTTCCTGATCTGATTCTCAAGAAAGGCATGGGAGGTGGTGCTGATCATGAGGCTGGACAAATATTTAAGGGTTTTGCACAAAGAGATGATGAATACTTCAACAAGATTGATCCGGAGGAAGAAAATAAAATAATTAGGGTTGACTTGGAGTTGGACTTGGATTTGGACATAGGGTTGCTCAAAGATCACAAGGAGGAAGTGGATCTGGAGCTTCGACTTGGTCATCTTTAGCTGCAATATTCTTCACTACTTTTGGGGAACTTAGTTAAGTTACTTAAGATTTGAAATTTGCTTTGTTTCCTTTCTTCTCTCAGCAAACCTTTAGTTATAGTAGACTGAAATTATAGATGGTTTGAGAAGGTTGAATTTTAATAATAGATCTACTGGATGATTAAACTTATAGGTTTATGCAACTTTTTTTTTTCTGCTGTTTTTTTTTTTCTTAATTTCTCAGTTAATTTGGTTAGTACTTAAGATAGTAATCTACTTCATGACATGCTCAATTTCTGTACTAATTCAGTCCTGCAAAATGTCTTTAGTCTAATGAATCTTGAAATATTCATTTTTTTTTCTTGTTCTAATATTTTATATGGTGGTAAGGTGGGGTTTACTAGCTGGTCCTTTTTGGAGTGAGCGTGCATATAGCTAGAGTTGAATGATCTGATATCTGCAGCTGTCTCATAATTGTATTGAATTGCTACACTGTTTGAGATATATCATGATATATCATTAATTGTTTCAAAAGAAACGGGATGGTTGTATAGTTGATGTTTTCTTGTGATTGTTCTCTAGGAAATGCAAACCTGCATCTTCTTTCTCTCTCTTTTTTTCTTCCTTTACTTTCTTGGAAATGGGAAAACTGGAAGCAAAGTTGTGTAGCATAGAAAGAGCACAAATTTAAAGGTTATAAGTTCCTGCTGCAAGCTTATTTTAATCTTGTGGCTCTCTCCTTTGTGTGCAATGAGCACAAATTTGATCATAACTGCATATATACTGTTAGTATATATTATTATATAACTTCATGTATAATCATTACATATTGCAAATATTAGACATGTATGTACATTTGCTTTATGGGTTTTCTTAATTCGTTGGTTGTCACAGTATTCAATTATTCAAATATTGAGCAGTTTAATTAGCTAAGTTAGTTTCGATCAAAGAAAAAGCCTAGCAGATTTAAACCAAGCACAAGATTCAAATTAATTACTTACTATACTACGTAGTTGTGAGTAACCGTAACCATTAGAAATTAGTAAAAGAATATTGGTTCATAAACAAATCAGAGTAAGAATAGCAATTCTAATTTTACTTCACGAGAATGAAGATTTTTTAAAGGCTAATATTTAAGAAGTTGAAATTATAAGCACCAATATCATCACTTTCTCTAGCTTTAACCCTTTAACAAACCTGTGGTTTACAAAGGGGTAAACTGTATTTGCAAACAAGTAGTGGATGTTACAATTTACAATCTGAATAAACTTACTCCTGATCATGGTCTAAAATATCCATAATATCCCGATATTTCTATCGAAATTTCCGTGTTTTTAGACTACCGATATTTTTTTAGACTACCAATATTTCCGATATCATCGATATTTTAGACCTTGCTGTCACTCATGTATCTTACCATGCAATGTATAAAGTGTAAAATATTGTTCTAATTCATTATATATAAATGATTATGGTGTGTTTAAACTTCTTTCATTAATTACTACATATTTTCTACACTCATAATGTTTGCCAGCTCGCTATATAATCAACTTAAATCAGTTATATCTATCATACAATGTATTTCCTTCCAATTTTTTGTGATAAACTAATAGATAATTGACTAAATAAACATCATGCAAAGTTTTAATAAAAATTTCCAAGTTTTTCTTACAATTTCCATGGTTTTTATTCAATTTTTATCGATATCGATAATATCCCGATATTTCCATCGAAATTTCCGTATTTTTGGACTACCAATATTTCCGATATCATCGATATTTTATACCTTACTCCTGATTAAATCAGAGCTGTAAGCCTGTACCTGCATTCTATTGGATTCAAAATGTTTTCATGAAAATATATGAGAAAAAAAAGAAAGAACAACATTTAAATATTACCATGGCTATAGCCTAAAGACAGGATATTGTCATGACTTGTCAGCTGGAGGGAACATTAACATGTAATTTCTGCATCATGATTTGATGACCTGCGTACGTACGTCAAATATCAGAGATACAAAATTGTATGTCAATTTAATGCAAATTAGAGCAAGACATAATTATGAATTGCTTAAATATTTTTGCATGTCACGTATGTGTTGCCTTGTCGAATGTCCAACTCCGGTGATGCAACAAAGTGGTGGTTTTGTGTTTTTGCTGTCTCTTTCTCTCTCTCTGCTGCTGCAGAGATTTGCATTTCCCGACTTCTGATGTTTTGCATGTTCCCAATATCTTCCCAGTCTCTCAGCTGCATGATGACCTTCCTCATTTAGAACTTCATAATTTGCTCACTGCAACCCAAAACTAGATAAATGACACCCCACCCCCCACCCCCCACCCCCCCCCCCCCCACCACACACACACACTCTCTCTCTCTCTCTCTCATCACTACACTAGTACTACTACTATTCAAGATATGTACTACTACTATTCAAGATGTCTCTTCAATAAATTAAAGGGTGTGTTATCCATATATATATTTTTTTTACTTTTTACACATCTTTTTAATTTTTGGTAATTTGATCGGATGAACTGCAAAAGATCAAATGATATAAATTAACAAAGAGTATGTAACAAGTAAAAAAAGCATACCCCTAAATTAATAGATATTGTTTCAGAAAAGAAAAATGAACAGTTAAATGGGATATTTGTGAAAAGGAAATAATTAAAAGGTAGGGTGGTCATTGGGGGAGTTGGATGGAGTTTGAAGTTTGAAATGAGGTTAGAAGATTTAAGTGTTGTAGAGAAGAAAATGGCAAGAAAAATGGACATCTGGGTGAGTAGGACAGAACCTGCCAAAGTGCTTGTTTTTGTGAAAGATGAGGGCATGGGATAAAGTATAGGCTAGTCGGCGCACGTCACCATCCCCACCCCCTTAATTCTCTCGTTCTCACCTAAACTTAAATGATACATCCACATCCTCTCTCTATTCATTATATTTCTTAATTCTTTTTCTTTTTACCAAAAACAAAAATGAAATCCTGTTCATCAAATGTTTCCTTATATAAGATGAAAAAAAAAATAAGGTGTATCAAATATTGAATTCTTGATCAATTTGATCAAAGGACTAATGATAACAAAACTCAGTATATAAAATACATCGAAGCATATTATAAAATCTCGTAGGACTCATTCAGCAGGAGAGGAAATAAAGTTAAAGACCATATACTTCAATCTTTTTGGTTGTTTTGTGCCTTCACCCCAAAACACAACATGAGTTTTAAATAATTGTAAGCATTATATTGTTTGGCCGATTGTTTAAGAGTACGGTTAGATATTGGTCATTGAATCTTTAATCAAAGATAACAGCCAAAAAACACAATGTATAGAGTACATTAAAGCATATTAGAAAGTCTCGTTGGTTAAGGACCACATTTCAACCTTTTGAGTTATTTTGTGCCTTCGCCCCAAAACACAGCATGAGTTAATATCAAAATAATAGTAAACATTATATTGTTTGGGAAATTGTTTTAGGCTACCATAAGATATTGGTTATTAAATATTTGATAAAAAAAATAATGGCCAAAGAACTCGGTGTATAAAATACATATAAGCATACTAATAAAAAAAACTCGTTGAGTTGATCATTCAGCAAGAGAGGGAATAGGGATGAGGATCATATTAGATAATAGTGAGCATTATATTGGGAGAAGAAATAGAACTAGACTGCAAAATTTATTGATGCTAATCTTGAAACATTTCAAAGAAGCTTGTAGCCAAAGGAAAAGAAGAAGGAAGATGATGATGAAGAGAAAAACAAGACTATTAGAGTTGTCCTTCTATTTGAGTCTAATCATCTTTCTTTGGGTTCTTTATGTATAAGTCATTATTGGTGCCAAAATTCAGAAGGAATCTGGACTGGATTCAACACATACTTGCTTCGAGTAGTGTTGTTTTCGATCTTAGTGCCACAAGATGGCTTGAAAGAAATAGAGAATAGGCGTGCCACATTTGGAGGTTGCCAACGGACAATGTTTGTGTTTGAGTGTGTGAAAGTTACACGTTAATATGATTTCTTTACCAAATGATTATGCACCGAGTGGAACGTTGTATCAGTTAAGCTCTTTTTTGTGCCTCAAGGGAATGAGGACTTAAAACTCAATGTAAATTCGAGTATGCGAACCTAAAAAGGAAATGAAAGTGAAAAAGAAACTAAAACAAGAAACAAAATGTAATCATTGCATGATAGGTTCAAGATTAAAAACATTCACAAAAATAAAATCTAGGTTGATGGGCCGAGCTACATACTTGAAATGTAACTTGACTGGAAATGTAAAGAAAGTAGTAAAACTCTAGCAAGATTCGGTGCTAGAGGAGTCAATCGAGATCACTGATGTTAGATTGGACTTAGTACAAAACGTGTGCCTTGGAGAGGAAATCAGGGTGGTTGGAATTGCGCATCAACCGAATCATACCACAAGGTGGCAGAGCTGTGTTAAAGTTTTAGATATCAAGGTCGTAGGTAGTGTTGCTTCAAATGAAGGCTTTGAGTCCCCCACTGTCAATTTCATTAAATAATTCGTTAAATATGATGACATGGCAGAAATGTGGCTCACTTGTTTGTAGATGTGTTAACAAAAATTCCAAAGTAAAATTAAAACTTTTCTCCAAAACAAAGAACAGAAATTAAAATTAAAAAATCTAAAAGAATATCCACCATCAATCTCCCTCCCTTTCACATAAGCTGTTTTAATTTTTTCACGGACTTGAATAGTACGGGGCAAAGTTACGTGATACAATTTGAGTTTCAAATGGTAAGTGAATAGTTTAATTAAGCCCTTCGAAAGATATTCATTCCCCATTTGAAAGCTTTGACTGTTGTGAATGTTCCAAACTGCAAACGCCAACGGATCCATCAATTTCGGTCCAAACCACCAGCTTCAGCAGGAAACTTAATAAAATTCCAAAAACTTTGTTTATATTTTTTGATGCAATGGGTCTGAAGGCTGGTGGGTCAACTGTTGAATGGCAGGCCGTCTGCTGACTTTGGTTCTTAATTGTTTGGAAATATGGCTCTTTATTTTTATGCTAAATTTAAAGCAATAATTCGAGGAGCAGGAAAAAGTGTGATTCATACACTGTTATAAAAAGTTGAAAGAAAAATCAGAGGATGGAGTTGTTAAACTCTCAAATCCAACGAACTATGCAATAATAAAAATGGATCGAAGAAAAATGGTGATGAAAGATTTTTGCAGAGAGAATATTCATTGAGTAATTCTTCTCATTCATTCACACTCTTCACCCAAAACATGTGAGAGAGATAACACACTTAAAAGGAGAGAGAAACTCTCTATTACAAATTCAATCTCAACCATTCATGTAATCTACCCTATGAGATAGTTACAAGAGACAAAACCCATCATTAAAATAGGGATTTCATCTCAGCTGTCCAATTCGAATGTAATCCAATGGCTCATATTAAAGAAACAGAAATATATATTTAACTAGCACAAACACTTATATTCCAACACTCCCTTCTAAGTGTTGTGCTGAAATTACTCCAAGCTTCTTTCTCAAATATTCAAACCAATCTCTGGCCAATGCTTTGGTAAAGATATCTGCAACTTGCTTTTCAGTCTTGCAATACAGTAAATCGATCTCCCCATTTTGTAATGCATCTCGAATGAAGTGAAATCTCCTGTTTATATGCCTTGTCTTATGATGATGCACAGGGTTCTTGGTTATAGCTATAGCTGATGTATTATCACATAAGATTGTTGTTGGCTTAACTTGTTCTCCACCGAAGTCTGAGAGAACAAATCTTAACCAAATTGCTTATGCAGTGGCCTCTTCTGCACTAACATACTCAGCTTCTGCAGTGGATAGTGCTACACTACTTTGCTTGACTGATGCCCACAAAAATACACCTGAGCCAAGATTAAATGCATATCCGGATGTACTTTTCATGTCATCCTCACTCCCTGACCAATCACTATCACAGAAGCCAATAAGCATTGCTTCTTTTCCCTTCTCATATGCTATACCATAGTCAAGTGTGCCTTGAATGTACCTAAGTACTCTCTTGGCAGTTCCCATGTGTTTTCTGGTAGGACCATGCATATATCTTGCTAACAAACTTGCTGCAAACATGATGTCCGGCCTTGTTGTAGTCAAATATAGCAGACTTCCAACTATCTACCTATATAGATTCTCATCAGCTTGTTCACTACCATCCATCTTAGATAGCTTCTCATTCACTGCAAGAGGAGTAGCAACTGATTTACAATCTTTGAAGCCAAACTTATCCAACAATGTCTGTGCATACTTCTTCTGGTGCAAGAAGATATAAGAATCAGTTTGTATCACACCTAAACCCAATAAATGATGCAACAATCCAAGATCAGTCATTTCATATTGCCTCATCATTGCAGTTTTGAACTCCATCATCAATTCTTGTGAACTCCCAGTGTAAATGATATCATCCACATATAGTGAAACAATGAGTATTCCACTTTTGGTAATCTTCACATATAAAGTTGCTTCACTAGGACTCCTTTGAAAACCAACCTTAGTGAAGTAAGAGTTGATTTCTTCATACCAAGCTCTTGGAGCTTGCTTAAGACCATATATGGCCTTCTTGAGTCTGTAAATTTCATCCTCCTTGTTTTTAATCACAAACCCAGGAGGTTGATCAACATATACCTCTTCATGCAATACCCCATTTAGAAATGCTGACTTCACATCTAATTGAAATAGTCTCCACCCTTTCTGAGCAACCAAAGCAACCAATGTTCTTATTGTGTCAAGTCTAGCAACTGGTGCAAATGTTTCATTAAAGTATATTCCAGTATTTTGGGAGTAACCTTTTGCAACCAGTCTCGCTTTGTTTTTCTACACAGAGCCATCGAGATTCAACTTGGTTTTGTAGACCCATTTGACTCCAATCACTGGCTTATCAGATGCTCTACTAACAAACTCCCAGGTATTATTCTTCTCTATCATTGCAATTTCATTTTCCATTGCTCTCTGACATGATTCATCCTTGGCAGCTTCTTCAAATGTCTCAGGTTCTATGATACACATATTGCACCTTTTATATACTTCTGTAATGCTCTTATATTTGAGTGGTGTGTGATCATAATCCTATGGAACTGTGCTTTCACTATGTCTTGCAACACTACCTCCAACATGTATTTCTTCAACGTTTTCTGGTATCACACTATCACCTTCTGAAATCTCAGTTTGAGTTAAATCAGATTCACCAGCCTTCTTTTCTTTCTCTGTAGGTATATCAGTAAGTGGAACTGAAATACAATACTCCTTTTGTGCACTCCAATCCCAACTTGCTTCTTCATTAAATACTACATCTCTAGAAATGACAACTTTTCCAAATTCAATGTTATACAGTTTGTAGCCTTTCTCACAACTTCCATACCCCAGAAATACACATCTTATGCTAGACAAATCAAACTTCTGTCTTTGTTGTCCTGGAACACACAGAGAACCAAACACCTTCAAATGTTTAACTCCTGGCTTCCTTCCACTATAGGCTTCAAATGGAGTTTTATTAACCAAGGCTTTGGTTGGACACCTGTTTAGAACATATACTGCAGTGTTAACTGCCTCAACCTAAAATTTCAGTGGCATTTTCTTCTCAACCAACATAGATTTAGCCATCTCCACAATGGTCCGGTTCTTCCTTTCAGCCACTCCATTCTGCTGTGGTGAATATGCCACAGTAAGCTGTCTTTCCATTCCCATTTCTTCACAAAACTTGTTGAATTCCAAGGATGTATACTCTCCTCCTCTGTCACTTCTTAGTTTCTTCAACTTATATCTACTTTAAAGTTCAACAGTAGCCTTAAACTTCTTAAAGACACTGAACACCTCATATTTATACCTTAGAAAGTAGACCCAACACATCCGAGTACAATCATCTATAAAAGTGAGAAAGTATCTATTTCCTGCCTTTGTTATAGTCTGCATTGGTTCACACACATCTATGTGTACCAATTCCAGTGGAGTTAAAGCCCTATTTGTTGACTCTCTTGGAAAAGAATCTCTGCAATGTTTTCCAAGAATACACCCCTCACACACTTCATTCATGTTTTTGATTTCTGGCAGTTCAAACACCATTTCTTTCTCCTGTAAGAGCTTCAAGCTGTTAATATTAAGATGTCTCATTCTCCTATGCCAAATTAAGGTTGATTTACCCACACTTGCTTTTAAAGCAAACTGCAATCATGTTTGAAGTTTCAAGGGAAAACTTCTATTTCCTTTCATTGACACCTTAGCAATCAGATTTGATAAAGAGCAGTCATCATAAATTTCCACCTTATTATCTCCAAAAATCAGAAAGTATCCATGCTCCATCATTTATCCTACATTAACTAAATTCTCTTTAAGACCAGTGACTAGCATTACTTATTTGATATACCTCATTCCCATCTTAGTGTCAACCACCAAACTACCTTTTTCCAACAACATCAACCAATTATCATGTCCCCATTTCTACTTTTGCAGTTATGCTTCTATCAAAATCAACTAACACATCTTTTCTGCCAGTCATATGTTTACTATAGCCGCTATCCACATACCATACATCTTCCATGGGCTTCTTATCAACTGCATTATTAACATAGAACATGGTTGGAACCTGAGTTGCATAATTTAGCTGCTGAACATTTTTCTTATTGTTGCAGTCCCTTGCAATATGTCCTAATTTCCCACGACAGTGACACTTAGGTTTGCCTTTAAGAAAGCATTCTCCATAATGATACTTATCACAGTGCTTGCAAGGATTTCTACCACCTTCTGCAGCTACAATTTGCTTCCTAGATTGGTAAGCAGGCTTTTGATCCCACTTTTTAAACTTTAGTTTCCAATTCTTCTGATATCGATTTCCAGAAGCATTAACAAGTTTGGGGTTTACACTAAGACTTGCAAATGCTCTCTCAGTCTTATTCTCACTATGTCTTTCCAATCTCTGTGCAAAGCTTTTCAATGAGGCAACTACCTTTTGAACTTCAATAACATCTATATCCCTTGAGTGTTCAATTACAAAACATATAGGATCATACACAAAGGGTAAACTAATCAATAGTTTCTGCACAATCCTTTCTCTAGACAATTCCTCTCCATAACTTTTCATTTGATTTATCAGATCGAACAATTTTGTAAGATAAACAGAAAGAGATTCATCATCTCTCATTCTAGTATACTCAAATTCTCTACGAAGACCTTGTAATTTAACACTTTTAACCTATTTGTCACCATGAAATTCTTGCATCAGAATATCCCAAGCTCCCTTAGAAGTTTCTTCATGAGAGATTTGAGGAAAGATCTCATCGGAAATTGCTCCCTGAATCAGTCCAAGTGCCTTGGCATCTTTCATGAGCTTCTCCGTGAGAGATGCAACATCACTTGATCCCTTATTCTCCTTCTTCTTTGCATCGAAAACCTCCTCAGCTCCCTTCGAATCTGAGTACTCAATTCCCTTTTCAACAAATTCCCATAATCCATGAGACTTGAAAATAGTCTTCATCCTTATGCTTCAGAACTCATAATTCTCGCCGGTGAAGATCGGCGCTCTTAGCTCACCCCTTCCAGATCCTGCCATGTTAGACACAGATCTCACAACCAATTTCTTCATATTTCAACTCACAAATTCAATCGCCCAGTGCTAAAATGACTGAACCTAGCTCTGAGGCCATGTTAAACTCTCAAATCCAACGAACTATGCAATAATAAAAATGGATCGAAGAAAAATGGTGATGAAAGATTTTTGCAAAGAGAATATTCACTGAGTAATTCTTCTCATTCACTCACACTCTTCACCCAAAACATGTGAGAGAGATAACACACTTAAGAGGAGAGAGAAACTCTCTATTACAAATTCAATCTCAATCATTCATGTAATCTACCCTATGAGATAGTTACAAGAGACAAAACATATCATAAAAACTGGGATTTCATCTCAGCTGTCCAATTGGAATGTAATCCAATGGCTCACATTAAAGAAACAAAAAAATATATTTAACTAGTACAAACACTTATATTCCAACAGGAGTTGTGGTGAAGTTTTAGACTTTGATTTGGTCGGATAGAGGACTAAATTCCGTTTTTTATTAGCAAACAAATTAAAGGCAACAAACAAACAAACAAAAAAGGTTATCAAAACTCAAATTAAAAGATGCAAATGATTTGGTGGAGAATTGGAGGTTTGTTGCAGCATTACTCACGTTGTAGTTGTTGTCCATGTTCATGATCATCTCCTTGCTTGTCCACGAATGTATGCAATTCTATCTTTTCTTCTTAAAATTTTCCTGCAGAATTAGTCTCAATCGATCTTCTTATATAACTCTTAAACTCTTTTTCTTCTACTTGAAGCCAAAATTGAACGATAAAGATTAACATCAATTGGGGGTATGTCCACTCGTTCTTTTAAACCACTATGCACCTTTTTGTCGCCCACATCAGAAAAGGATATGATACAATGATTAATTTGAATTAATCACATAGAAAATTAGTGTTTCTTCGATTATTTTTATACATATTCAATAGTAAGATAACAAGGTAGAAGTTGTATCATGGATTCATAGTAAAAGCTTGAACCACATATATGATTATATAGTGACACGTGTTCATTCAAGCACACAGACTGAATTTCATTTCTTTTGAGGAAAATATATAATTTGTCATTTCTGCAGAAGATTATGTTAATTATTAACTAATATAGTCACAATATTTAGTCCAGTCATTTTTCATGTAATTTGCAAACGACATATACCTAAAGCCAGTAACCTGCTACACTAAATTAATATATTTTGGCCTGCATACATATTATATATACACATATGATATTATACAATACATAGGTGTGAGAGAGAGCTAGGTATGTTTCACATACCACATATAAAATCCTCATGAGTTACGATGAATAAAACAGTACTAACAAATTTCACATTATAAACATTTTACGTTGCAAAACAATCTGCCGAAAGAAACATTTATGTAGAAATATATAGAGGTTAAGTCTAGTCGTGCTCAGAGTTTTTCCTTGAGTAGTATACCGTGGAACCAGAAACATGATCTTAAAGCAGGATTAGCTATATGATATACTGAAGTTAGGGCATGATTTTGATTGTGATGGCATAAAACTGATGTATGTTTTGTAATTGATTTATGTGTGTGTGTAATATATAACTATATGGTTGTTTGGGCCCAAAATAATAGTTTGGGCTGAGGGTAGGAACATTCTCGGCCCGAGAGGCCGTGCGGCAAAAGGGCCATGGATCGTTCAGCTCGTGGGCTTCCAAGCCTAGGTCAGTTTGATCAGAACGCAAGTCGAGTCCTAGTACAATAGGGAGTCTCGACGGGATCAGTAATTCAGAAAGCGAATCCGGCTCAGTTAAGGACTAGATTCATAGTCCTAGTGAAGGTAGGACTGGTCGAGGTGGTGTTGATCCGAAGAGGAAGACCTAGTCCGAGTAGGATTTTAACTCGGATTCAGGATCCAGTGCTATAAATAGGGGAAGTTGTGCGTCAGAAAAGCCCCATGCAAATCAATACAAAATTGCCCTGCGCAAATTCTCATAACTTGTGATTTTTCTTTTTCTTTTTCGCTGACACATCTTCCGTTGGCATCAACAGCATTGTGGAAGCAACCGGTGATATCTTAAGTCGGCATAGATAGCTCTGTCACCGTAGAATCAGTCGGTCTCGCAGTATCTTCCGTTGGCATCAACAGCACTGCGGCGAGAACGATTGATTACCTATCTAAGTCTCGGTCGAGAAGGATTTCTGAATCCTTATTGGTCGAGGTCATCTCATCAGCCTTCTCGGCGAAGTGAGGTGTTACAAGTTATTACATTCGGCACATTGAAAGCCGAATTTGATATTGAACTTCGTAAAAATAGTAGCCTTGTTTTCAGGTTCGAGAGCCCAAGAGGCCGAGACGTGTTCCTTCCTCGGCCGTAATCGCAAGACGCAGAAGTCAGCCGCGCACCCAACGCAACATCAAAAAATTTACTCCTCGGCCGAGCTCGGCCGACGAGTTGGCACACCCCGCAATCATCGAAGGACGTAGTTAGCTTATAGATTACTCGGCCTGCGTGCCACGTAGGCTTTGTAGTTTCTAGGGTCAACATTTTGGCACGCCCAGTGGGACCCAGTGCTAGACTACGAAGTTCATGCCAATTGAAACACAATCGGTAAAAAAGAAAACAGCTATGGGAAAGTCGACAGCCGATTTGCCGAATCAGAACATAGGACAAAGTGTGCCACAGGCGCAGAATCCCCTTAGCGTTGTGACACCTGAGTCCACGAGCGCGACTTGCCGAGAGAGAGAAGTTAATCTCGGCGGTCAACTACGCGGTCTAGAAATCCCTAACAGAAACACCTACGTTCTCAATAAAGGGATAGTAGAAAAGTGCGATGAGGATGGTGGTGAAGGATCTGATCCGCCAACAAGGTCGTTTCTTCGAAAGCGACTAGATGAGCAGTCTCGGTCAGTCGACCAGACGTTTAGTCGAGGCATTGACAAGCTGCATGACGTGATACTCAGTTCCAATGAACGACAAACCAGATTGCTCGAAATGCTGGTTAGTAAAGTCAGTGACAGCAGGCCTTTCGATCTTCTACAGCACTTACCACCAGGAAACAATCCGTTACCAATTGTACCGGCCGAGCCTATTCCTGCTCGGCTCAAACAAATTGACTTGGAAAAAGGAGGAGGGTCGAATAGTAGGTCAGACGGAACCGACCAGAGGGTCAAAGCAACACCTGTTGACATGACCGAAGTTCAGCGGATGATCGACTCGGCCATGAAGAAATGGCCGAAGTTTCCTAAGTTTATCCATCCGTACCCGGCCTACGTGGAAACGTTCGGATACCCGAAGGGTTTCAAGATCCCAGATTTTAGCCTTTTTACCGGTGAATCGTCTCTGTCTTCGTTGGAGCACGTGGCTCGTTTCACCGTGTAATGCGGGGATGTTAATAGTGATTTCCATAAGTTACGGTTGTTCAACTTCTCATTGACCGGTTCAGCATTCGCCTGGTATATCAATCTCCCTTCTAATTCCGTCCAAAACTGGGAGGGGTTGGTCGAGAAATTCCACGAGCAGTTTTATCGGCCAGGGATGAAGATGTCAGTTTCCTCATTAGCAAGGATGGCTCAAGCATCTGATGAGTCACCAATGGATTATCTTACCAGGTTCAAATCAGCCAGGAATTGGTGCCGAGTGCTTTTACCCGAAGTCGAATTTGTCAGGCTTCCTTTGAACGGCCTCGACGTCGAATACAAAAAGAAATTCTTAGGGGCAAACTTTCGCGATATGTACGAATTAGCCCAGCATGTCGAGCAGTATGATTACTTGCTCCGCGAGGAAAAGATTTCGAAGGTTCCAACTCAGGGGACGATTTACAAGAATCCTACTGTCAATTATGCATCAACCGAGGATGAATGCGTTAGTGTGGATGCAGCTGAGATAGTGATAGATAAGCCATACGTCTGCAAGGCATTGACTCAAGTTGACTCTAGGTAAGTCAAAAGCCGTTCGGCCTGAGGGAACGGAAACGTCAAAAGTTAATACTTTATATTCAAAGTCTGACGCAATTTTTTGACTAACTGTTTCAGCAAGAATCATCAAAGTTTCGCCTGGTCACAACATTCCCAAGGCGAGTGCTAAAGAAAGGTATATTTGTAATACCACAATTCAAGCATCATGAACGACAAACAATGGTTCTGTGTTCGAGACAACGTCCTAAACTGGATTGATAATGGCAACTAAAATTTCCAGAGAAGAAGCTGAGTGTTGATACTGACCGTTCCCACGGCAAAGTAATATGGTTGATGCATGCCTACCAAAGACAAAGGAAAGGGCCCGAAGATTTTGCGACGCAAGCTTTCGGATCAAGAATCATCGCGCAGTTTCAATGGCCGATGTTCGTTCAACAAACGAAAGTAGAACGGACCCGCTATTATCAACTTGAGCATTAAACGAGAGAGTGGGAACAGCGGTTTTGCTGCCCCAAATGCGCAAGGTCCTTATATAGAGGGCCTCTTCGCTCGAAGAAGATAGGCGCAACCCGCAGAAGGTTTGCGAGTAGGCCAAAATCAAGGGTTTTTGATAGGCTCGGATCCTAAAGTAGAATGGGAGCACCCCATCGGTCAGGGGCACTCGATTTTGAGCGATTTGACGAGATTACTAT